GGCAGAGTTAGAAATGACAGGACAGGACTTGTGAGCAGAAATTACAGCCTCCTGCATCTCATCGATGTAAATTTAAACCTGAAACCAATAAATGTGCTTTCATTGCCAATGAAGAACTAATTGTACTACACACTAAAAGGAAAATAAGGAAAAGTTTACACATTCCTCAGACTAACTAACATGTGCTTAGGCCATATTTACAGTGTTAGAATGACCTGTAAATAATTGTTACTTTTCCTTCTACTTTTGTCAACCTAACGCATTTCTAATCCTGCTGTTAAAACTTGTAATCTATCTATTCAAATAGTTGAAAATTAATTAATCAAGGATTAAGTAATTATGACTGAGCCTTTGCATATGGAATACATAAAAATAGGATGTTGATACATTTAGTAAATTAAAGATGAATGTAAAATTCTAGATCATGTTTTAAAATTACTCCATTTATAACAATTTAAACACCATAAACTACTAACAGCCACATTCCAAAGTTCAAGAAGCCTATCTATTTTTATAAATATGTTTTATTCTCTATTGTTATTGTATATTCCATAGAAGTAAAGGGCTACCTGGACTTGTTTCAAATTCTCTTACATTACATGTCACTCTAAAGAAACCTTTTTCCAGATAAGTTGTAAAGAACATGTATTTTTTAATGGCAGGTATTTTATCATCTCTGGCCATTTAGATTATAGGTGTGGGATCCTGTTTTATATGGCACCCTGCTACCTTGGAAATTCTCTTTTAGCTGTTTCAGTTAGAAAGTCTTTGCCAAACAAAACAGTAGGAGGGAAGCTGTAAAAAAAAAAAAAAAAAAAAAGCCCAAAATGCTAAAAAAAGAAATAAGTGAACAAGCAACAATGTAAACACAAACTAGAGTAATATTCCCATGACCTACATTTGATAGGAAAAAAAAAGAAAAAAAAATACATAAGATGTAGAGAATATCTATTTAAAACAACGCACATTTGCCTTTAGAAACAAAGTTATTCAGACACTATTATAAATAAGCTATTGTACTACAATAATTATGTTAAAAATCTCAGACCTCAAATATTATTTTAAGGTAAATGTGTCTGGTCTATGATTTTCTTCTGAAATGAGAATGATATAAAATTTTAAAAGAATTTTTTTTTTAAAATCAAGCTCATTGAAATCAAATAGTCAAATTGTACAAATAGATTATCCTCAAGATTGCCTTTTGAAAATCACTCAGTTTGTTATGTAGAAAGTGACTGGTATGACTTAGGAAGATGAGTCCCATATCCTAGATTCAGACTCACTGCTCTTTTGCAGACATATGATTCATTTACATCACTTCTTTTTGGTTTGAAATAAATATAAACCAGATGAACATTAAAATTAAATATATGTTATTACTGCCATTATGGAAAACACTGTGACCATGCACTCCAGACTCTGGGTATTCACATTCATGGACCATTTGTGTGTCCTAGTAGCCTCCTTGCAATCCCCCTGTGCTGCAGGCACCACTGCTGGGATTTTTGAGGTTCAGAGAGGTTAAGTTGCTTACTCAAAGTGCAAGGCAGAATGCAAACAGGGACACAGTTTTAGACGCATTTCTCCTCATCACAGCTGTCCTCTAGAACTATGTGGGGAAATCCAATCGCTTATTTGAAAATACCTTGATCCTAGAAAGAGTTCATTAAATCTCAATAGGTTAAGTCCCAAATTCAACTCAGGAACAAACTCAGAATAAATCATGTGATTTTATAGTTCTATCACGTTTATCTATTTAAGGGAGGCCAGGAGGCATTTTCCAGTTACTGCTCACAGGAGACTGCCTTTCCTTTTCTTTTGCCCATCTTTTCTCTTCTGTAGGTGTGCAAGAAAAAGTATGGCCTTTAGAAAGGATTCCAGGCTCATCTTTTTAAATGCCCTCATAGATGGGTCTGAAGAATAACCCATCAGTCAATGTTTACTTTTGTATAATAACAGAATATGACCATGAGAATCATTGTCAGGAAGAATATTTTATCTTCCGCTGAGGGGGAAAAACAATCTTGAAGAGGATTAGCAAAAGTTGGTATTTGAAATATTCATTGGTTAATATTATCAAGAACTGTCCTCTTTCCTAATCCTAATTATAAAGTTAAACCAGCATATCATGTGAAGTGAGCACAGACAAGAAACAACAGCAACAACAACAAATATCAAGTAAATTCATAAAGACTTACAAATGGAAAGGATTTGCACTCCCTTACAAACAATGACAGCTAGTGAAACAATGAGAATTTTGCAAAATAAAAATCTCCAGGAAATATGCCTAGAATAATCAACCTATTTGTTTACCTAACGGAAATATGTATACCCTTAATTATGTAGGAATAAATACATGAATAAAAATGAGTCACTTGCCCATACCAGATAACTGAAAGTAATACTTTATTTTTCTTTCAGGCTGATTCCTTATTCATTTCACAATGATTTCTTGTGCACCTACTTATTATATCCCAAGCACTGGGGATACAATGATGAGTAAGACTCCTGATCTTCATAATGCTCATGGTCTAGGTAGTAGACAATTGGAGAATACTTACAAAATACAAAGTGACAGTGGGATAGAGGAAAATAACTGCTTTGAGGAGAAATAAAGATAACTGAAAAGTGACACATCAGTGAAAAACCCATTGCAGATTCTGTTACCTCAAATGCATTGTAATGAAAAGGACTTTAACATTTTCACATCATTCTGTAATAACTGCTGAAAAATGTAGAAATTGAGATGAAAATAACAAGTGTATATATAAATGGGTAGGGCATGAAAACCAGGAACAAGGAAGGAACAGTTTGGTTTAGCAAGATCTTCAGTAAAGTGAAATAGAGTAATGAAGTTAAGGCTGAAAAGAAAAAGAGGCTGCAAATGGAGGACTTGAATAGCAGACCAAAGTTTCCAGGCTCTTTCAATTCTGATTCCAGTGCTGTCCTCTACCTATGCTTAGGAACATCATTTATGGTCAATGAAAGTCTTGGTTACTAATATGAGATTGAAAAAAGAGACAAGTATAGACTACACCGGGGAATAAGAATTCTAAGAGTCAATAATTGTTATCAACTGGATGTTTGAATCCTCCCAGAATTTGTGTTGAAATCTTAAATTCCATTGCATTAGGAGGTGAGGTTTGGGGAGACTTTAGATGATAGAGGATATGATGAGATCAATGTTCTTATAAGAAGAGACAAGAGAGTACTTGCTTCCTTCTTCTTCTTCTGTCCAACATATGAAGATACAATAAGATCACTATGTACAAACTAGGAAGTAGGTCTTCCCTAGATACCATCTCTGCTGAAATCTTGATTTTGGACTTCCCGGCCTCCAGAACTATGATAATTCCTTCACCCGAGCCATCAAAACTTGTGTATTCTGTTATAGCAGCCCTGACTACAATAGCAATTGAGTGAATAAAAAAGAGAGTCCCTTGAAAATTAAAGTCCAAGATTCCAAAGGGAACACTTCATATACAGCAGGGTGGACCCTGTGAGCTTGATTTTGAGCCCAGTGAGTTTGAGGTGCCAGTGACACATTCAGGTGAAATATATTAGAGATGGAAGGATTACAAGTATTGATTTGCACTCATCTTAGAGGTGGGTGTTGATGTAGGAAGGACAGTCTAAGAAGAGAGCATAGGGAGAGGACAGCACTGGAATCAGAATCTGAGCAGAACCTGAAACCCAGTCAGTGGTCATGAAAAGATGTGAGAGAGGTCAGGAAGAGAGTACCTAGGGGAGTAAACTAAACGAAAGAGTAGAGAATAATGGAAACCAGGGAGTGGGATTAGAAATAATCAGTGAAATTAAGTAATGGGGAGAGACTCTCCATGTTGGAGAACAGGCCCTGGATTAGGAAAGGAAAGGGCTGTCCTGGTTGCTAAATGCTACTTGTGTTTCAAACACTAGAATCCATTCTCAGAATCAAGGACTGTTGCCAAACACCTGAAAACTCTGGATAAAGCTCTATTATCTTATCAATTCTCCAGAGAAGACTATGGATGACTTTCCTCATCTCATCTTTGATGAATTTCATGTCTTATCTCTAGCAAATGTAAGCATTGAAAGAATCAAAGTTAAGGGAGCATAAAGCTATTTCTCATCCTTTAATATGAAATTCTGTGGGGCAGTTCAGGCCACTTATCATCACTTCCTTCTATCAGATGAAAAAAATAAAGCCTAAAGGTTTTTTTTTTTTTATGAAAGCTTTAACATCCTAAGAAATATTCAGGTTATTTATAAATTAAGTCATAAAATGATAAATGGAAGGCAAGTACCTAAATTTCTTTTTAAGAGCTTTAACTTGGACTCATTACATTGGGCCATATGTTAGTGTGGGATTAGTACTGAGTTCCAAGGCAGATTTTAGGATTCAATTCATATAAATAATTCCATCAAAGGGGTTTTGCTTTAATCATATCAGGGCAAGGCTAATTCTCTGTAATAGTATGGAAAGTTAGTGTTTTAGTCAGCTTTTTCATTGCTGTAACTAAAGGACCCTACCAGAACAACTGTAGAGGAGGAAAAGTTTATTTGGGGGCTCACAATTTCAGAGGTCTCAGTCCATTGATAGTAAACTCCATTTCTTAGGGCTCAAGATGAGGCAAAACATCATGGTGGAGAGTGTGGCAGAAGGAAGCAGCTCACAGGATGAGCAGGAAGCAGAAAGACTCCACTCTCCAGATACAAAATGTATACCCCATAGCCATGCGCACAGTGAACCACTTTCTCTAGCCACATCCCATCTGCCTCCAGTTACACCCAATTAATCCCATCAGAGGTTAATTCACTGATTAGGCTAATGCTATAACCCAGTCATTTCTCCCCTATACCTTCTTGCATTATCTCACATATGAGCTTCTGAAGACACCACATCTAAACCATAACAGTTAGTAATTACAATCAATTATATCAAGTTAATGTTTATCAGAGTATTTACTAAATAATTCTTGTTAAATTAATGGTCTAATTAAGAAACTGAATTTAAATACCTGTGGCACCCATTTGGAGGACACAAAGCTGGTTACTTCTATTACAGACAAGCCAGTTTGGGAAAGTCGATTGATAAATTCAATTTTTATGTCTGTAGGAACTATAACCTATAAAAACATAAAAAGTTAGTTTATAAGTAAAGTCACATGAGGTCTATTGTTGACAAACAGAAATTCACTTCCTAACTGAAAAGAAATGTGATTTATAAACTCAAGTAGCAAGTGAAAACAAACATGTCTTTAACATCCTAAGAAATGTTAATATTTAAACTGAATGTTTGAAATACACTCAGTAAAGCCAATATAAACTTACCTTTTCATTCTGCAGTCCATCCCTAGGCCCAACTTCTACTATTTTGACATATTCAGGGAGCCCAGATAACTGGGATGATTCCTGAAAAGCAAAATATAAAGACAAGAAAAATATAGCATTTAGATTGCCATACTTCTTATTTAAAAAGCTAAACAATTATACTATATTAAATAAAGCCTCATCCAGAAAGCAATAACAGTAAGAAATCAACATAATGATATAATCTAAATACCCTACTTATATTTGTAATATGAACTCATTTTTCTTATAACTGCTTGATATTTTATGATTTAAATTCAAAAGAATAATTTCTAAAAATAAAATTGTGAAATAAGGGATTTACCCAGGATCCAAAGAGCAAATCTGTTGAATCATTCTGCATATAATTATATCACCTTTTTAAAAAAGATTTCTTTTTTAGTTGTAGATGGGCACACTACCTTTATTTCATTTATTTATTTATTTATTTATTTGTTTGTTTATTTATTTATTTATTTTTAATGTAGTGCTAAGGGTGGAACTCAGTGCCTCACACATGCTAGGTGAGCGCTCTACCACTGAGCCACAGCCACAGCTCCTAGATCACATTTTTGTTAAAATAAAAGTTAAGCCATTGTACTAGCAGATATCTGCCACACAGAGTCATACCAGCTGCCACCTGCAATTCACTGAACTTAAGTGTAGATTTGGTATTTTGGCTCATGCACAGAAAGATAAGGTTAGATATAAAAGTATGCTATTTGCTTCTCTGTGTCACACAACAGAACTACCACACAAACACTGCTTCCTGATGGACTAGTGAACATAAGCCTCAATATCTTCCCAACACCCCAGCTCTAGCCCAATGTAAGAAATACCTTGTTCTACCTTTTGCCCAACTCTGAGGTACTAAATGGGCTGGTTTCTGGAATTTCTGTCCCTAGACTAGGCAGGATGGACCTAGTTTAAAAGAGGCATCTGCCTTCTAAATGTATTGATTTAAAGGTTATTATTTAATACAAGAAAAATAGAAATAGCCTGTTTTGTATCACAGTTTAAATGACAAAGAAGCTACTTCTTATAGACTGTACCAACATAATCTCTTGGTACTTCTGAGTGAAGCCTTGGTAACTGATCATTGAGTTCTTCATATGGATAGTTGGTAGAATCAACCCAGATTCACAAGACCTGTACCTTTCATCAGTAAAGACAAATTCAAGCTGACAATAATGGCATACAATGGTGAAGTGGCTGTTTTGGATGCAGGATGCAGTTTTTGTCTATAACAGAAAAAGGCTCACTGGCCCTTTTAGTGTTTAAAACTCTTACAGGCTTTATTACTATTCTGTGTTAATTCAGTTGAAGAACCCAGATGGTCGCTGATACAATGTTAACAGACCATCCTCTACAATTTCCCTAAAATGGGGCAATTTGTTAACAAAAATTAGCCAAGAAGGAAGACAACTCTCATTTCTGCATCTTCTGTGCAGGTTATGATGCATAAAATTAACAGGAGGTGGAGAGTTAAGAGGGGAACATGAGTCCTCTGCTTTAGGTTCAGTTCTGAATGGTAGTCATGAGACCATGCCTAATTATGGAGTGCCTATAATGTCAACCCAGCAATTAAGAAAATGTATGGCATGGGAATATTGTGTAAAAGAGAGACTCATTTCTCTTTCTAGTCCTAAAATGGAAGCAATGAAACAAAACCTGAAACAAAACCAGGAAGCCTTAAAACATGTGGTCTCATTATTGATGGTTGTTTCACAAAACTACATTTCCAACAGCAATTAGCTTTCAGCATACATGGACAAAGAGTATTTCTTTGTTTAATGGAAATTTTGACCCAAAGAAGGAACATAGTGTTTTTTAATGCTTGTGTACAATGAGTACAATTAGAGAGCTGGGTTCATTTCTCTGCATCAATGTGATAAATTTGGATAACTATTCACAGGTAATATGAAGAAAACCAACACTATGGTCATTTAAGCCAAAGCTGAATGTGTGACCATTTGATAGGATTTTCGATTCTTCTTGAATCTAATGCTACTCTTCAGTCTTTCTAGACAGTTTGAATTAAGCTAGTGACCAAAGATATTCCCCARTACAATCAACAGATCGTATTTATGCACAGTCTGTGTCACAGACTTCAATAGGTGCTGGGTGTATGCCAAAATGTAACCAGTAATAAATGGACCAATTAGATAGAAGCAGTAAGAGATGGTAAGGAATCACGGAAGATGGAGTATCCGAGAAGAGGCATATTCTATGTTCTGATGAGAAGATTATTAATTCAGGCATTTATTTATTTATTTATTTTGAACTTAGGTCTGGGCTAGTTTACACTGACAAATAAACACATTATTTACTTGTGTGTGTGTGTGTGTGTGTGTGTGTGTGTGTGTGTTTAGTGCTGGGGATTGAACCTGGGTACTGTGCATGCTAGGCAAGTGCTCTACCACTAAGTTACACCCTCAGCCTCATGTGCTTATACAACATGAGGGATTTTATATTAATCATTATGTATGAATCTGTGGTAGTAATGCTTAGAAAGAGATCAAAGGTCACCAAGAAAGGGCTCTCATATCACACATATTCAGTTAATATATGTTAATGCTGATGATAACCAGAGGATACTTAAATGTCTGGTGGGTTGTATTTCAGCAGCTGCACTTGGGGAACCTCAGAATTTCCTATTGGGCAGCAAGCATGCCTGCCTTTGCTCCAGCTGGACATACTATATCTTCCAAGGCGCTTTGCTAGATGAAAACCTTTGMTAGATAATCAAGGAAAGGCATTCATGCCATGCTACTAAAACATGCACATATGCAAGACAACAAAGAAGAAACATTTTCCAACAATTACCACTATTAATACTCAAAAATATTTGTTTTCCTCAACCAAAACTCTAATACATTATCCAAGATCTCATGTGTAATCTAGTCAGAACCTCTACAGATAAAATTAAGTAATTTAATTTCTATGATCCCATCATACTTTTTTAGAAACATGTATTTTTAAAAATATCTGCAAATACTTCTTGCTTGCTTCTCTCTCTTCCTCTATTTCTCTTTTATTATGGGCCCATTTTTTAAATGAGTGAATTACAAATAATAAATGAATTCATGCCTAAAACTTAGATAAGTAAGGCTAGTCTTTCATTTAGCAAGTACATTAGCCAATGTTATAATAGTTACTAGGTAAATGAAAGGAATCATACAAAAATTCCTGCCCATAGCTAGTGAACATTTTAGTGGCACCTGGGTCTTCATGCTACTTTGAGACAGGAATGAGGGGGTACTTTACCTATACACTGAACATGAGTGAGTTATAAGTTACAAGGAATTGAGGTTTTAAAATATCAGGCTGTAGAAGTTAGTGACATAGTCCTTAAACAGGTCTATAGTCTAAAGTTTATTTTTATAACAGTAAAAGTCCTATGTTACTGAGCTTAGTGTATCCTGTTTAGTGTGCAGTACAGTATATGATACTAGTCTAACACAAAAGATGCATTATCTAGAGTGAAGAGTTCAAAAAGCTGTGTTATACAGCTGAGTGTGTGTCCACATTTGGCATCATATTTCTAATGGTTCACTTTCATAGAGCAACAATAAAAGAAATACTATCTTGCATTTATATGTTGTATTTTTTCCAAAGAACTTTTCTATCTCCATTTCATCTGTGAAGCCACTCTATTAGTAAGGCAGAAATGAAAGAGATATTAAATGACTTTCTAAGTTTACCTTGCTAAATTCCTTGGCTCTGATTCTAGTTTTCTTTAAGATGAGATTAAATACATTGTCAACTATTGAATTTTGCTTGGAAAAAATAGTAATGAACCTTACTTTTACATAAAATGTAAGTGTTCTGCTTTATTCACATTTTTCAATTGTGCATAAAATTAAAAGGAAGGCATAATTTGATGCAGAACTCTGAAATCGTGTGTGTGTCTGTGTGTGTTTGTGTGTGTGCACACATACGCAATACATACGTTTTCTAGCAGTAATAATGGATGCCTTTATACAGTCAACCCTATTCATGGTGATAGGTGTCATTTCTTATTATCTACCCTACAAGTACAGCTTTTTTCCCTACACAACACTACCATAGTAGAAATTTCTATACCAGTTTATATATGTTCCACTGACTTCATTTCTTGAGAAGTAGTTTTTTGTGTGTAAAGTTGAAATATCCTCTTTCATAACCAGTATTCCCAAAGAGAATGACTCTGAGGGCCAAATAAAATGTTCCCACTACAGAGATGAGAAGTGTGGATCAGGAAATTGTGTGATTTTCTTTTGAAATTAAATTGGACTTCTTGAGGGGGCATTAGATATCAGCTTTTCCAAAAGAATCTATTTTTGTCATCACATCTTAAATATGCACATGGTGCATTTTGTGGTAATGTTAAACTCTCTACACTCTGCTATTTGTTATTTCTTGGATATTAATTTCTCTTTTAACCCAATATAATCAGAAGCATGTAAACCATTATCACTGATATAGCAGATATCCACAGAAACCTTGGTCCTCCAGAGTAATCAAAAGATATTTTTCTCCCTGGGTGATTCTTTGGAACCAAGAGCTGAATAAACAAAGCTGATATTTGAAACCCTATTTCCAGAATATCCATATTTCAGGGTTAATTCAAAGGCAATATGTGGCAATTTAATAAGAATGCATTCAAAACCAAGTAAGTTTGTAATGCAAAATAATTTTTGTAATGTATTATTAAGGTACCTAATCCTCCATGAATAGTATTTCTTAATTTACCAGCTCAAAAGGTAAAGGAAAGTATCTGAATGCTTTTTACAATTTGGGAACAATCAGAAAGAAAGTAAAGAGTGTGCAATGCTTTGCTTCCCAACAACCATCAAAACAGTCAACGTTTTGACAGAGATTAAAAACAAGCTCTACAAACATGAATGTCCTATCTCTACATGTATACTAAGGTGTATTTTTGGCACTTTATGGGAAACCAGTGTTGGGTGTCAGTGTAGATATACAACATAACTAAATAAAAACTCCTTCTGTAATAAATTTTGTGAACACTGGAAAAATCAATTGTAGTTACAGAAGAATAAGAATATTACCCAACAGTT